TCGACGAAAACGCCGAAACCGAAATGCACACTGACGCCAGTGATATCGGTTTGGGTGCCGTCCTCGTCCAAAAGCAAAGCGGTTACGAAAAGGTAATCGCCTATGCAAGCCGTCGTCTGTCGAAGGAGGGGAGAAACTACTCTGCCTTTGAGAAAGAGTGCCTGGCTATCATACGGGCCATTTCAAAATTTCGCCCATACGTCTATGGTAGACCGTTTAAGGTTGTGACAGACCATCATGCGCTGTGTTGGCTCGCCAATTTGAAGGACCCCTCGGCCGTCTTGGGCGGTGGAGCTTGCGCCTGCAAGAGTTTGACGTTACAATATTCTACAAATCCGGCAGGAAACACTCCGACGCCGACTGCCTGTCCCGCCCCCGTCGACCCACCACCACAGGACTCCGATGAAGACAGCGCGTTCTTCGGAGTCGTGACAGAGAGCGACCTAGCCGCCCAGCAGCGTGCCGACCCTGATCTCCGCGCCATGATCGACTACCTCGAAGGACGCAACGTCGCCGTGCCTAGGGCGTTCAAGCGCAACTTACCAGCATTCAACCTCAAAAACTCATGCTAGTGAAGAAGGATTTCAACCCCGGAACGAATTATCTACTTGTCATCCCCGCAGACCTTCGTGACGAAATTTTGGAAGCGTGCCACGAAGACCCGTCTTCCGGACATCTCGGAACAGCTCGCACGAGTACAAAAATCAAGGTGAAATACTTCTGGCCCCGCCTTACATCCGATGTCACCCACTACGTCCGGAGCTGCCGTGACTGCCAGCGACGAAAACACCACCGACGAGACCAGCCGGACTTTTGCAGCCGATCGCCGTTCCAACGAGGCCCTTCCAACAGATCGCAATGGACCTTCTGGGCCCGTTCTCTACATCCCGATCCGCGAACAAATGGATTGTCGTAGCGACAGACTACATGACGCGCTACGCAGAGACCACTGCTCTTCCTAGGGAAACTGCACAAGAAGTAGCAAAGTTCTTTATTAACCAAATTGTGCTGCGACATGGAGCCCCTGAGGTCCTAATCACGGACCGCGGAACGACCTTCACTGCAGAGCTCATGCAAGGAATCTCACGCTACAGCAACACAGATTACCGAAGAACGACGGCGTACCACCCCCAAACGAATGGACTAACGGAACGGCTCAATAAGACAATCGCGGATATGCTGTCTATGTACGTCGACGTTGAACATAAGACGTGGGACGAAGTCCTCCCGTACGTCACGTTTGCGTACAACACGGCTATTCAAGAAACCACGCAGATGACACCGTTCGAGCTCGTCTACGGATGACGGCCGACTACGATGCTCGACGACATGCTTCCGCACGTAGAAAACGACGACCTCAACGCCAACGTCCAAGGATACCTCCAACGTGCGGAGGAGGCCCGCCAGCTCGCTCGAGCTCGTATAACGGATCAGCAACTGGTGGATGCCGGACGCTACAATCTCCGACGCCGAGACGCCGAGTAGCATCTGGAGATCGTGTGTGGGTTTGGACTCCCGTTCGACGACGTGGACTCAGTGAGAAACTTCTACGACGCTATTTCGGACCCTACCAGATTCCTACGACGTGTTGGCGAACTAACGTACGAAGTGATCCCCGATGGGGACTCCCGTACATCACGACGACGCACGCGGCCCGAAGTCGTCCATGTGGTTCGCTTAAACCTTCTACGGACGATGACGAACTTTTAATTTGTGTGGACTGTCCCTTATGTAGCATCGGGTCGATGCACTTTTAGAGGGTGGGGTAATGCCGGCGAACCATGCATTGGGTTTGTTTATTTGTGTTTTGTTTTTTCGGCCTGGCTGCGCCGGCCTGTGCTATCGCCGTTTTTACAGCGTTTCGAACAAACGCTGCCACAGCGTTTCGAACAACCTCAGGCGTTGTTCGAACGAACAACGCTGTTTGAACGAGAAACGCTGTTCAAACGAACAGCGTTTCTAACAAACGCTATCCGGCGTTCCCGATACAATTAGACCATTCGAGAAACCCTCGCGCCGAGGGATATAAATTCCCGCACAGCCCAATGCCGCGTCATTCGATCACCGACGCTCACTAGCATGCCCGTCGTTTTGCTGGCCGCTGCTTCGCCGCCTGTGTATTTTTTTCAGTTGTTAGGGGAGCACAGGTTCGCTCATAGACAACTGCGTCGTCCTTTGCTGCGTGACAATATCGTATTTTTAAATTGCATACCGCGCACTACGCGGTTTTCTTGGTGTGAGTAGACTATCTCATGCCAGCAACAGTGAAGTTCACTCGCCGAAGTCGTCGCGTGAATGAGGTTTGCCTGGCAAGGTTCCTTTTTGCTCTAGCGACTGATCGGGCGACGACGATCTACGTCGCTGTCGCGTGCATTTTCGTGCTTATGAGGTTTCGCCCTTGCTGTACTTGGTCGAACGCGCCTTGCAAGCGAGCCGAAGCGGCATCTAACCCCATGGTGAAAAAAAAAGGGGGGGGGGGGGAGGAGGTGTAGCAGTTACAAAATTTCTTGGCCTTCACTACGGTAGTTATAGCGCGGGAACAGAACGACGAGAAAGGGACAAGAAGACGAGTGCTTGTCCCTTTGTCGTCATTCTGTTCTCGTGCTATAACTACCGTCATGTCATACCAACTGGCCCAAATCGCCACACTTCTTGGCCTTCGTTCTAACCCATGCAGAGAATGCTGCTTAACCCACCTTCGCCGCAATACACTGGCGCCGTGCGGAAAAGTGTACTAAAACTTGGAAGGGGCTGTTAGCGCTAGTTACAGGACACTGCACGTTTCGTTCAGTTACTCAGACGCCACATAATTTTAAGTACCATATAAGCGCTGACGTCTAAGTAAGTCACTGGCAATCATTTGGAGCTGTGTATGACATTTCTTCTTCCCTAAAGAAAAAAAAAAACTAAACTGTTGGCCAGTTTTTTTTGTGTTTTTTTTTTTTGCCACCCCCTGCTTCTAAGTTTGACAAATCACCCGAATGTCAAAGTCGCGAGCTTGGCAGATCAATATTTAACTTCACAGAGTTTGTCAAATGATTTGACAGGTGAAGCAAATGCTAATATAGACTTTACAATTGTTTATTGAGTGGGTTGGTTCAAAACATTACTTTTATTCAAATGGCAGTGCTCACCTTCACACTGCATGATTTAGGTGATGTTGAATGCTTTATAATTTTTTTCTTAATGTAAGATTTCTTATACTGCTCTAAATTTGTTATTTCATGACAATCAATGCATTTTTTTCTTGTAACGTACCTGCTCAAAATTTGGATTTTCGTGCCCCAAAAGTAACATTTTCCTGCTCCGAATTTGCTCTAATTTGTGTTTTAGCTGTTTCACCCCTGTTGTTGTTGTTGTTATTATTATTGTTGTTGTTATTATTATTATTATATTATATTATTATTTATTATTATTATTACTACTACTACTACTACTACTACATGCGGAAGCAATTGGTAGATATGGCAGATGTGATATGTAACAATAGACCCCTTTCCTAATTCAATGCACTTTTGAAGAGGGTCCCGCTTAAGGTGGTCGCAAACGATGTGCACTGCACTTTTGTCTGTTAAAACCTCATGACGCTATCACGTCATGCTTTTCTTTAACTGTTACGTAGCTAAGATTCTTGTGCAATCACAGTTTTTTAATTATTTTTAGTGTGATGTGTTTTTCTTTTTAAATGTTTTTTGGTAATCTAGTTTTCAACAAAACCTTTCTTTTGAAATATTATTTCAATTGTTTGTTACAAGAGTTGTAGATAGCTCACATGGTATGTAAAAAGGTAGTGCAGTTTATACTTAGCGATATTCTGTTTAAAAACTTTCTTCAAAATCTGCTTTAGTGTTATGTGTATTATAAGCCAATTAAAATATGCACTGGTGCCCCAGGTTGCTAAAAATTTGTATTTTCAAGCTCCCAGGACGACATATTAAATGTCGCTAACTGCTCAGAAGCAAGGTTTTTCTGCTCCGAAATGGAAATTTTCTGCTCCAAGAACTGCTCCTAATTTATTCTCAGCCATCTCACCCCTGCATTGTCTATCGGTGAAACCACTGGACATCCATCGTAGGCAACTTGCAAGTCAGCATTGGGGGTGCGGCTTTGACGTCGGTCCGTCACCAACTGTGTGGTTTGTCGCGTCATGCTGTCTCGAGTACATCGGGCGGAAGTGCATTGAGTGGTGGCATCTGTATAGTGATGCCGAACCATAGCGTTTTGTGGTGCGATTACATGGGTTCTTAGCGTTGCAGCATGTGGTCGAGTCAACGTAACTTCTGGTTGTGCCACGTGATCGCGTTTTGTCATCGCGTCAGGCTGCATTGTTGTTGGAGGGTTTTTCTATATTTGTTTTGGAGTGGTGTCACCTCCTGATGTCACTGGCTTTAGTTTTCTCTGTTAGGACTGGGTGATCTCACTCTTGTGTGCTCTTGGTGCGGGTGACGACATTTGGTGTGAATAGGGCGACGAAAGGCTTGAAGGATTAAGGGACGGTATGTTCAGTTTCTTGCAGGTAGGCCTCAATTTCTTGAGGCCACTGGCCTGGAAGTGGTGGTGGAGCGTTGATATTGCATCAGTGAAGGCCCATCTGGTAATAAGGGCAGTGTCGCAGGAGGTGATTAGCTTCCCTGCAGTGAAAACAAAGTGGTTGTTGATCAGGGATTTTCCAGACTTCTCTTCAAAGGTGTGGTTTGCCAGAATTCAGCTGATTCTGTAGGCTGTGGTGGGCATAAGTTTGAAGGCTGTGGTGGGCATAAGGTATGATAAGTTTTCCCTATCAACGTTTATATTACTGTAGGCACACTGGTGTATTTTATACCCACTTTTCTCTCATAGTATTAGTGTCTCTTATAAAGAGGTTCAATTTTATAAAGAGGTTCAATTGTGCTCCAGACACAAGTGGTTTAATCAGTTCATCACTCATAATACATGTCTTGTATGTGATGTTTCTTACTTGTGTTCAACATCCCAACATGTTTTCCTGACCTCTTTTGTGCAGATATTGCAAAACCTTGGGCGAGCAGACAGGACTAAGGATGAAGTTTTTGAAGTGTACTTGTACAACTTCACAAGGCAGCAGGTGAGAACAGTCGTGAAACAGCAGTTACAATTTTTTGTTACTTCGAGTCTTTTATTTCTTTAAACATAGCTCTTGTTCAAGGGCGTTTCGCTTGTCTTTCTGCAATTTCTTAATTTTTTGGCGAGACTTAGCACATTAAAAACTGGCCATAGGGACATGTGACATGGAGACTGCAATCATAACCAGCAAAAATTGTGACTCTTAGAACGCTCACCTGGCTCATGGTTGGCTCTCCCTTGGCTTATTTCACATCAGCATGGAATCGGGCAAAACCAGAGTTCACTCGTAGTACAGCTCACCCAACTCGTGACGCTCGCGCTTAGTCAACTAGGGTATTGCCGGATTTCAAGGAGACGTGGAATAAAGAATACGCCACAGATGTTTCATTCGTTAAACATTATGCGTTATAGCAAGACAGGTGCCGTCCTGTGGCCAGTTTTCGACACGCTAAGTATCGCTCTGAATCCATACCAGTTCACGCAGTACATCACTTTGTTTCAATTCTTGAGTTCAGATCGAGATGACATTTACCTTGGTGCAGCGCTATGGTCGTAAAGTGTCATATGGTGGAAAGCTTGTGTATCAGCACATCTGCATTTTTCAAGGTACTACCACAACACAGCATTTGTTTAATGTCAGGCCTGTGTTTACTGTATTTTTGCTGTTTCTGCTTTTATTTTACATTTATGATAGCATACTGTAGGGTAAACACAGTGCAGGAACAACACAGTTAGATACAACCAATATTAAAACCAACAGTTAATGAGCCTAGGAATGTGTGGGGACATACTGTTTAATTGTATTGTATGATACAGATGGAAAAGAGGTAATATCAGGGACCCAACCTTCAACCTTTGAATAACGTGCCCAGTGCTCCACCAGTTAATCTGTGGTGGTGGTCATCTTAACCGAAGCATCTGCCTACAGTCTGGTCACCGTATATAAACAAATAGAGGCTCCCCATATGTGAACTCTCGCATTTACATTGTGGGCAATAACAGAGACAAGACAAAAATGCTCCCTGGAGAGCATGAAGCCCTGGCCAGTATATGGTCGTGTGAGAAGTGGCCTATTTATTTCTGGGGCTAGTCCTTCACTTTACCAACCAATTACCATGCACTGGTTGCCCTGCTGTCATCCTGGAGCTCACAACAGTGGCCCCTTTGTATCACAAGATAGACCGTGCACTCCTTCACTACTATCTCACATTCGTGTTTGAAATAAGAGCGAAAAAAACCCAAACGCTATGGGCACGAAGGATGCCTCGCCACTAGCAACTGAGGTTCTAATCAAAAACATAGAAATATATAAACACTCATTATAAAAAACAAGATTAAGAAACAGGCAACCGCAAACTGAGTATGCATGTAAAAGAAAAACTCCAGGCCTATTTTTGCCACCACAGTGAGTTGCATGAAGATGTTCTACTTCATGGCTTGACAACGCTACCGACGGACAGATTCTGCAAGAAACACCCCCTTTAGCAATATAGGTGGCCTCAACATTTTTTCTCGATTCCCTGTTCTCGTGTTCAAAGCAAAATAGATGTTTCTTTAACAAAGGCTGGCGCCTTCAGTCTTGGCAATGAACAGATTGGTGCGAAAGCTTGTCAGTCCTCAAAGAATATCTGTGTTGACGCAGACGTATATTGACACACTACAGAAGTGTGACAAAGGCTTTCAGGCACCACTCCAGCCTGTCCCCCACCCTGACGGGGCCTGGGGCAAAATGTCAGTAGACATTATAGGGCCCTTTGAATGAGCACCAGCGGACTGTCGGTTTTTCATTGTCTTATTGGAGGATTACTTATCCATGTGGTTGAAAATTGTGTTCTGCAGTGACACCGTGCCTTGATCAGCTACCTGCTTGGTGTCTTTGCACGAGAGGGCTGTGCTGGTCTCTGATCGACAAAGATATCAAGAACTTTTAAGGGCGAAGCTTCTTAAGCCATGGGTCGTGCGTCCCCGATGTATGTAGTAGTAGTCGTATTAGGTAGCCACTTCTCGTTTAGCTTTTGGAATGTTTGCTGGATGGTGGTGCCTGTATATAATGAATAGAGGCCGGATTTTTAGGCACTAAAAAGTGTGTTTTAGGTGCCAAAGACAGGCAGTTAAAATACCATTTGAGGCATTCAAAATTATATATAGGCTCAATCAAGTTCAACAAAAATTGAAATAACTCTAAAACAATGACGTCGGTGACTTGTATTTATGACTAGCAGCAAAGAGGTGGTATTGTTCGAGCTAGCACGAAGGCACCAACGGTTTGAACATAGGCATGCATTTGCCACGCGATTCGCAGATTACATACTTTTGTTTTATTGTCCAGCACTGTGAGCCGTGTCGACCGTCCTATCGCAACTCTTCTGGGTCTCTTTCGTTGCGTCGTGGCTGGGAAGGGCAGCACAAGAGCAAATAACCAGACCACTGACCTCCCAAACGGAAGGATGCCAGGTTTGATCGCGTAATTTCTCTCCTGTCAGTGAACACCTTAGAGGGTCCCTCTCTAGGGTTGGGTGTTTCGAGCAGACAAGCATAATGGGTTCCTTGCTGTACATCACTCCCTGCATCTTGGGGCGTGCCCCAAGATGCAGGGAGTGATGCACAGCAAGAAATGACGCACAGCAAGAAATGGTCCGGCTTTTACGTCGCTCCTTTAGGCTGTGACATCATTCACCATACAATCTTTATCAGATCTTGGTTAAATGCTGCCTATATCGAAAAAAAGAGACGTAGAATGATCTATCTTTTGAATATATCCTGCATGTTAAACGGTACAGTGTTGCACGTGAATTACTTTAGCTGGCGAGTTTAATTTGTGTTCTGTCGTTTAGCATGAATGAGGAGTACTTTGGTTTGGGCTAGCTCTGTTGTTTAGCATGAATGAGGAGTACTTTGGTTTGGGCTAGCTGCTTTATATCATTTTGAAAGAGAAACGCAAGGACAAAGGAAAAGGAAGACGGCGTTCGTTGTCTTTATGTCTTTCTTTTCCCTGAATCCTTGCGCTGCCCTGCCCTTTCAAAATAAGTATAATGAATGAAAGCTGAAAAAAAGATAATAAAATGTGCAAATGGAATGTCAGCCTGTTATTATTTTGATTTTTGTTTTCAATGGCCACGAGATGAGTATGGTAATTGGCCCTCGTTTCGCATCCACCTTGGTGGACCAGTGGCTATAGGGTGCTCCGCTGCTAATCCGAATGTCCCAGGGTCTGTTCCGACAGCGGCGGTCGCATCTAGATAAAGGTGAAAAAGCTAGATGCCTGCGTATGGCCTCACGTCAGTGCACCAGAGACAACTTCCGGAGATCTCCATTACGGCTTTCCTCATAATCATATCATGTTTTTTTTTTTTCATGTGAAATTGCACATACTACCACTAGTACTTCTACTATTATGTACTAATACTGCTACTACCCCATATCTTTGCATTCGTATTCTCGTAGTTCCTGCATCGTGCCTTCGCCTACCCTGACAGCACTTAGCTTGTGTTTGGTGTGTCATCTCTGACCGCAGTTTCAGCGGAGCGACATCGTGTGTTGCGGTTACAATATATGATCTATCCCAGCCTCTCCAAAAATTATGCCCACTGACTGATCCATCGATGGCGTACGATGGCGTATGTGCACGAGTAAACTGGTGCAGGTCATGTGCGTGTGACCTTGCTTGCACATGATGTTCTTGGTGCGTTTGCATCATGTGATCCTCCAGCCCAGACACCGAAGAGAGCATCGAAGGATTTAGGCTCGCCGTGGCTACATGAGGCGAGAGCCAAGCGATTCAAGCTTGCCTCTTCGCATCATGGTTTTTGCTGGTAGCGAATCAATTTGAAAAATCACTGTGGTAGAACGTTCTTATTGGGCACGAAGAAGTTATAGTGTCTAACTACAACTTCTTATGTCACCTAGAGAGGGGTGCTTTAAAGGAGTTAATAACAAACGAAACAAAAGCTCCGTGCACATCACATTTTTTTCCTGAAGGCACTGCCAGCATATAGGTTACAATGTCAAAGAAAACATGTTTTTCATTGATACAGCACACTTGTTTGCTTTATATGCACTTCATTGAGTCATGAAACTAACAAAGAACGAATTAGTAAAAAAATTAGACCTGACACGACATTCTAAAATTTGCAGTCATTGCCCCAAATGTATAGGGAAGTCCTAAATCTTGAGATTGGTGTTCATGAACACATCGTTTTCAATCCCTGGCAGAGAGAAATCGTGAAAACATGCATCATCAGAATTTTTTTTTGACCAGAAAAAGTGAGTTTGTGCGCCACTGTGATATAGGTACAGAATGAAACTGAAACTGCGCAATCGCCGTAGAAGAGGACAAAAAAGAGCATGGACTGCGGCCAAAGGGCGCATGCCAGCGTTCGAGGTAGAGCAGCGATTGAGGCAGTTCTCGGCTGGACGTCTGATCCAGAGAACTCGTGAACCTTCTGGGCATGCTGGTTCTGTTCCTGGAATCTAGCTGGGTGACTGGCCCAGGGACAGGTGGTGCGCTGCAGGGACGGCTGCCGAATCGCAGTTGCTCGGATCAGCAGCAGACGAATCATTGATTGCCCCGGCCGCCGTTCCTCGAAACATCAATTGCCAGGCTGCCGTCAGGTCGGCCTAAGTGTGGCAAATCAGATTTATTGTGCCATGTTGATTATATCAACAAAACTTTTGCCAAGCTACGTCAAAACCAGATTTGGGAGTGCCTCTCACCAGCAATAGCAACACCAGCGTGTGAAAATGTGTACATTGTTCTCAGGGCCAGTAAAGTCACCATCACATACCTTGAAATATTTCGTTGAATAAACTGTGATCATGCGGTGCGTCCTAACTAATCCACGGTGCTATGTTTGGTGCCGATGCAACTTCTGTTTTACAAGTCCGCTCAATGGCGGAACGAGCTCTTCTCAGGGACTCGGGATGTCTACTTCAATCAGTAGCGTGAAACTGTGGTGGACGTCATTCGTTTTAGGAACGCTGCTGATAGCTCGTTTGAAGAGTTGCACAGCAACACAATTTAAAGAAACTTTCACTAATAACTGCATGTGTTCTGCCAGAATGTCTATTTCTGGACCTCACGATCTTATTTGCTGCGCTTCGCATCCGCAGAACAACATGTGAAGGATGAGAGCTCGTTGACATTTTTCCTCAAATATATTTTATCTTCATCCAGAAGAACTTTTTCGTAATCCTTCCATACACATGCACGTGTGTAATCGCTCTTGTGGTAAACGTCCCAAAAGACTTATACCCTCTGGAGCTCATTATTGCCAGAGTCTGAATTCAAATTTTTTGAGTTTTTTAAACATCATCTCATTAATAAAAAAGCTTTCTCTGGTCAAAGCAGCTGCAATTCGGTTTTAATACGCGCAGCTTTCAGTAGTGAGGTCATCGCTGATGGCTCTAGTTGTCAGAAGGCACACTGTGAAGCGGCTACGCCATGTTACACCTCCGCCTCTCACTTTCCCAGGTCAATATCTGAAAGTTGAAAAATAAACATCACAGCATAGCATTCATTGCTTCATTCTGCGGAGGGGGGTGGGGGTAAGGCTGCATTGCTTGAAGGGCACAGTCATTCGCGTGCGCTTTCTGCCAAAGTGCACATGTTGAAGGCTGTACAGCAGGCAAAGCAGCCTCTCTGCTTTTCGCCCAGCCTCACTTACCTTATTGATGAAAAAATTATGCCATATCCATGGAATGAATGACGATAAGTGGGCGCAGCTTGAGAGGGGGGAGATCATCAGTAAACCGTATCTCTCCCATGAAAGTTGGGCCCATTGCATCATTAGAAAGACGTAAGACTGTGCGTATATTATACAAGTCAACTTTTATTTTCTTCTTGTTTGCAAAGGTGCTTTATGATCGGCATAGGTGGAGCGGTGATGGGGTGTAGTGGAATCTTTGCAAGGATGAAATAGCGGGCAGTTTGCAAAGGGAACGGCAGACCCTCAACTTTTGGAGCTTTGCCCTTAAAATAAAGGATCTATGATTATCCTTAGTATTATTGCTTTACTTTAAGTCATTTGGAAAAATGTCTGATGGCAGACCAAGAGTACATACCAAAGAGCCAGTTTAATAAGGTACAGCGCATATGGACCCTGAGGGAAACTTCCCGATGTGTGACCAAGACTGCAGGCACCAATTATGTGCAGGCTTTTTGAATAGTGTGTAACATGTGGGATGATGTGCTTCAAGTAAGGTGTTCTGGAATGGGGAGTGTGTCCCCTGGCACCAAAAACATGGCTGTCTTGCTATGACAATCAGTGGTGCAAGATTACACTGTACCACTGTGGCACCACCTGTCAAGGAAGTAACTGTATGTAGGCTGATATACAAAGCCTTTGAGATCAGAAGTTGCTGAACTGGTCATGAGTGTAGTGGGAACTTGTCCCATCTGTTGCTCAGGACGCAGAAGCAAATTTTTTTCATGTGCTAGGCAGACACGGTGTTGAGGAAGTCATATGCATTCTAGTTTTTGCAGACTAATTTGTGTTCAGGGCTTGTTCTTTTAAAGTAAATGCAACACCCTAAATACATCGTGGTGCATGTGGTTGCGTTAGTGCGCTTTGGCATCTCTTTGAGGTGTAAATTGTTTAAAGAAATAAGCAGTATTCGTCATTGAGCATTACACTTTTATGTCAAAAGCCTTGCCACCACGCTTCTTGCATGTGAAAGGTGGTCAGTCGTAGAACTTGCTGATGATGTTCACATTATTTTTGAGGACCTTGTGGACCTTGTATTTTTGAGGACCACGCACTAGGACACCATACCACCCTTCGGCTTAGCGGGAAGGGGGGGGGGGGGGGGGGACATAAGGTAACCGTTCGCCGCGGGCGCAAGGCGCTGTTGGCGGAGTCCGAACGAGCCCCGCAGGGGCTGACGGACGGAAAAGAAAAGCGTGCTTACCCAGTGTCGTCCCAGGAAAGGTCTCTCCCGCTTCCGACGCGCGCGCAAAAACCTCTCGGGAGACTCCGCGCGCGGCGGCACAGTCAACATCCGCTACCGGGTGAGGGGGTTAAGCGTCACTCTGCTCTCCAGCGCTGCAGACAGCAAAGGAGGGGAGACACGTCTGGACATGAGAACGGCAGAAAAGGCGCCAAAGCCCGCGCTAAGGCAGCGGGCTAGCCTCAATTCCCACAACCTCCTCATTGTTTCATTACATAACTTCTAGTTAGTGTGATAGCTAGACAGGCGTACATGCACATAAAATGAATAACGATGCTTATTCTTTTTCTTCTGCAATCAAACAGTAAGCAAAAGGGTTTGTGTTCTGAAATAGAAATGGTACAAACTCACATGACACAGAGGCAGCTTATTTGTTGCAATAATGCATAAAAATGCGTTATTGGGGAAGCGGCCACTGTTTTCAATAGTTTGCTGCAAAGACGACACACTACTGTATTCTAGTACCCAGATTAAGAGGCAAACAATTTTTATACGAGAGTGAGATGTCAATGCTTGAAAGTATTTCAGGTGTCAACATCAGACATAGATAGCATCCTTCAGCGATATAGAGACGTCGAGCTAAATGCAGAACATGTCTTGTATCATCAGTGAGACTTTCTAAAACAGTAGCCGGACGATAATGCTCAGTACCATGGTGTAATAAAAGTAACTTGATGTGTGCACTCCGCCTGACGGGGCGTCTACATAATTTAATCTCCTTTCGCCTCTCGGCCCCCATGTCACAGCGCCCCCCCCCCCCCCCCCACGCAACCGTGGCCTGTGGCATGTACTATAAAACGAGCTGCTGGCGTAGCATTTGTAACGGCGTTGCGCACGTCAGAACTCAGCGCTGGAGTAAATGCTTTTTGTTTTCTAACTCCGTGCAAGCAGTTGTGGCGTTCGCCGCATGTGGCATTTTTGGTCGTGAGAAACGGGGTATGCGCTTACAAGTGCCTAGTTTAAAAATAAAATACTATGAGGTGAAAAATTGACCCCATATCTGCATGCTTGACTGCAAATGTCGTCGAAAGACGATAGTCTTTGTTCTTGAGAGACTGAAAAAACTTTTTTCGTTTCGTGCGAAACAATGGGTGAATAGAATTCTGGAGGCACTGCGTGACACGAGTGCCATCTGGTGGTAATCTTAAAAAAACTGGAGGAGGGCCTCCCTTATAGCGAGCGTGCAGCTTGCACGCATAATCTTGGAGGCCATATTTTATAGATTTCAAGGTAGGTGGCAGCACCGTATCGTCTTAGCAAAACCTAAAGAAAGTCACCTTTTTGTGCATAGCGTTCCATTGTGACTGCAAAGTGATAAACGCTACACTTTTTAGAATTACTTATATGTGACTTTTTAGTATTAAAAAAAAAACCACACAAAACATTGATGTGTTGATATTGTGGCTCAGGTATACACAATAATTGCTTTTCAATCGACAATTGCACAAGTAAACATGCAGAAACCAGAGCAATAGGGCGCTGAGGTTAGGGTGTACTGAGCTGTTCGCTTGACAAACAAACAGACAGGCAGACAGATAGACCAATATTTTGCATTCAAGTACCCCAAGAAAGACTTTTTGTTTTCGTAAAGAAAAAAAATCCCCCCTGCATGTCACTGCACCCCCACGAAACTACAGCCGGCACACATACTAAAGCCAAACATTATCTGGATGCGTCTCCTTCACGGCGGGCGGAGAGTGTCCACACCTAAATATTTTTTACATCAGGTTAGTGCTCAAAAAAAGAACCTACCTATGGCAAAAAAGAACATTTCATTACATTTCAAAGAGGAATGAAAGTAAAGCTTCGCAATTTGTTCTCATGCATGGAAAAAAGCACCTGATTTTGAGAAAGACACTGTTGTCAGCCGGCACTAAAGCCCTTCCTGCCCAGCAGCTGCACCAGCTGTGGGCAGTGTGGCCGTGGGAGTGCTCAAAGGTTTGAAGTGCAATAATGGTATGGAGACCACAACAAGGGGATTTCCTTTTAAACAAAGCATTTCCTTGAAACAGAACGAGCAGTATAAGGTTTCTGGAACGCAATTTCAACGATTTACACGGACTAGTGTCCTTTTAAAGGGGCCCTGCATCACTCTTAAGTCATCGTCTAATGGCTTCATTAAAGGAGCTTACTGCCTCACATGCTGAAAGCTACACAGGGAATGGGAACAAGAAAGCCACGAAGATGCTCTTCTTGGCAGCGTGCATCATCACCTCGAACACTTTCCTTTTAATTCTTTCTTGAATTGTGTGGTTTACTTCAGTGTAAAAGAACTTGTTGTTGGGCTAGTTGGTAAACATTTCTAAAAGTTGATTCGAGCGCGGACACACGACACGATCACTCACACACGCACCAGCCAGGCATCAAACACACAGCGCTCACACACGCAATCAGTGTGATTGTGAATGCAGGCGGTCAGCCGCACCACAACTATGCAGCTCACGATGCTCAAACCAGACAACAACCGTGCATGTTACTATATAACATCATTTGTAGGGAGAAGAGGGTACGATTTCTAGCTGACTAAGAAACAACTAAAATTGCAGGCCTTGTTCAATGCATGTCCTAGGGAAGTACTTTGGGGTCTTATTTTCCTCGTGTTTCAGACGGCAGCAGCCAAACTGCAGAAGGAGTTCAAAAACTATGTGCTGTGCATCAAGAGCTTGCAGCTAGCCAGCAAGGCACTCATGGACACACTGAGTGAGATCTACGAGCAGGAGTGGGTCGGACACGAACAGATCCCCGTCAAGGCACAGGTACTGGGATGCTTGCTACGTTGTCGAACACCACTGAAAACAGTTGCGCAACACAAAGCAAATTCTTCTTTGCTCTATAAACATAGTTATTATGAGCAGCAAAATTTGACCTGAGATAAAATGATTATGAGCTGTGAGGTAAAGAGAAGTGCATGTAGCCCTCTCAAAGGTAGGAACTCCATTCTTTTTATTACAAATTTTTGCAAATAAAAGCAGCTCTGAGTGCGGTACATAGTAGAACATGTCCGCAACGCCTTCATAACATAGCTCAAGTTCCGAACAATGACCCTACTCAGGTAGTTCCACGAGAGCTTCTTGCTCATCATCAATGCACGCTGCAGAAATAAGGCGCCCCCACAAATTTCTTGATGGGGAAGATGCCATGCAGCTCTGTAAACTTCAAACAGGAGTTCATCCAAATCTATCGTGATTGAACAAAATTATCAAACATTGTAAGGGCGGTATTGTCGGCGATGTTGCGACTCGCCGCCGACCCTCCACTATATATTGTGGAGTTGCAATTAAAGGCCATTTAAATTTTATGGCTTACAGCGTATGTATAGAATAGAAGCCCTTGGAGCAGTCGGAGGCACTCCTAGCTAGCTCAGACCCGCCGCGGTGGTCTAGTAGCTCAGGTACTCGGCTGCTGACCCGCAGGTCGCGGGATCGAATCTCGGCTGTGGCAGCTGCATTTGCGATGGAAGCGAAAATGCTGTAGACCTGTGTGCTCAGATTTAGGTGCACGTTAAACAACCCCAGGTGGTTGAAATTTCTAGAGTCCTCCACGACGGCGTTCTCATAATCTTAGGGTGGTTTTTAAGACGTTACTCAACATACCAATAAATTCTCGCCATCTCATACTGAACTAGCACTCCAGGACCGACGGTGGCACGCATCCTATAAGTGAATCATTAAAGTGAATCAATAAAGGGAATCATTCTGATAGGAGGCGCAGTGGGGGCCACTCCCATGGGGTCGCAGATCGACATACCATTCGATCCCTCTGCACCGCCAACAAAGCCGTGGAGAAGGAGATGAAAGGGGAGCCGGTTTCGAGTTTGCCCAGTAGAACAAAAATTGAAGTTCGTTGGTAATGAGAGCAACACGCTTCGTCTCTCCCAACAGCCCTCCCTCAGTTTTTATTTTTGGCCTCCCCTGAAAAATGTTGCACCTTCATATATGCAGTTCGTTCTGTGATTCTTTAAATACATTGAAATGAAGTTGAGGATAAAACTAGGCTTGTGCGAATAGTGAGCTTTAGTTTTGAAGCGAATGGTGATTTTGGTCTACTATTTTGAATCGAATTAGAATAGTATATATGACATGTAAAAAAAAAATTGGAATATTTATTATGGCCTAACTAACCTGCACATTATTTTTAAATTGAAATAGGGTCTTTATGCGAAAGCCTTTCTTTTATTGTTCAAAGGAAGTTGAAAGAACAGTGAGTAGTATCAGGATTTGTTTTTCAGCAGGATGCGAGTCATGGCCCTTAAAGTACGTTACATTTTAAATTTTATTCAACTTACAGCATATAGTCTGGCATAACTAGCTTTTAAGCTTAATAAAATTAATCGATTTGAGAGTAATATTTTTATTCAAAGGGGCCATGCGACACTTCTTCTAGTAGCCATGGAATGGATTCACTGAAGAAGCTTATTTATTGCTTCATGTATTCACCGGCGCTAATATTTTTAGAATTCATTCATTATGCGTGGAGTCGCAAAGATTTCTCGCACACTGCAAGTGCATTCTCTTCTCGTCCCAATGAAAGCGCTGGAAGCTAAGCAGGGAGGGATGGCACGGGGATAGAAAAATATGTCGCATGGGCTTCTTGTTCAGTCATTTGCCGAGAGAAGAGAGCAATGTTAGCTGACTTTAAGAATTTATTGTGAATCGCACGCCACGTGCTGCGCTATAATTTGGATTGCGTGTCCACGGTAGCCTTGACTATTGATCGGCAGCGTTTTCTGACATTGCTCAAGAAGTGTTGCAGGGCCTTTTAAATTTTAAGGGAGGCTTCGTGGCAGAGCGGGTTTTTTTTTAAAAGGTGCGTTTACGATTCAGCACCATACACAGCAGTGAAACCACCTTTACAGGCAGTAAATTCAGATCAATATGCATCTATTCGTTCCTTGTGAACACCTTGATATTTTCAATAATTTAAATTCAAATCGAAGCCAGTTGAAACGCCTAGTATTTGTTAGAAATTTTAAAGCATTTGAATATTTGCACAAGCCTACATAAGACAGAGACAGAGTTAGGTCGCTGAGCGAGTCTTGAAGGGCCTCTCACCAGGTTTGACAATTTTGAGCTGACAAGGGCGTTATGTAAATGGGGTGTTCACGATAACATCTGCCAAAATTTGCAACACCACGCACCACGGAAATGAGTCAAATTTCAAGATGAACGCTGATCCCTCTTTCTTTTGCCGGTGCGCGCCATAGAATGATGGCATGACGTGCACGCATAAATGGCCTTTGTACACGGCAGTACCGTGAGGCAGTTCCTCTACACAGACAACCGTGCTCTGACGTTGCCAACAGTGGCACGTGACATGGCGAAAATTATTTACCACGACATGCGTAGTTTATGTGCTTTGTGCTTGAAAAGATCAATAAAACTTAAGATAAATAATGAGATGCGATAAGGGAATGAATGCGTTTTTTTTCAAAATTTTCTCGTGATTACACTGAAATGTGGGGCTAATGTGCGGGAATTTCGCGTCTGTTCGTGTCCTCGTGGTCAGCGCACCGAGCTGACGACAGCCATGGAAGCGAAAGTAACGCTCCTACACGTTGGCACATCATTGTTCTCATCTATTCTACCGTGTTAAGCCAGCATTTCCAAACCATCCTTCAGAAACAGTCAGTTGGCCATAAAATAACGCTGGTCAACATGCTGGTCAACAAAACAACGCCGCTCGTGTGCTCGGGGGTTGGGCCATGTTGAGGCACGTCGTGCGCACGTGACAGATGCTGGTGAGGGTAGGAAAGAGATTTGGCTTGCAAAGGCTGCGCGAGAGAACAGCAAGGGTTTCGAGCTCGCCTCGTCTCATCCTCATTTTGTACCGCTTCAAAAAGACAGTTTTCTCAGCTCGTAATAAACTGATTGAAAAAATTCTTGTGGCAAATGCTCCTTATTGGGCACACAACAACTTCCACTATCTAACAAAAATTTGTTATGGGGCCTGGTGAGTGGCCCTTTGAAGATAGATGGTGAGAAAACAGTATTAGAAGGAGGGTTTTTTTTTTTTTTTTTTTTCAGATGTCATTGTTTTTTATGGACATGCAAAAAAAGGCTTCACATTTTTATTTTTCAGTGCGTACTGCTGTTTAGTTGTGCTGCAATTTTGCCAAGTATCTAACATGTTTTCCTGTCTACCGCTTTATGTCATTAGACTTTGGAACTTCTTTGGGACGACTACCACAGGAAGATGAATGACCAGGTGATGATTCCATTGAACAGCTACATCACTCAGTTTGTAGACGTTAGGGTGAGTACTCTCTTTTAGCCATTCCGGCATGCCTTAGGCTATTGTGAGAGGAGCCTTTCTTGGCAGTTTGAGAAGAAAAAAAAGTTGGTACTACAGTTAAACCTCTTTATGAAAGGCATGCTCCGGGCAGCGATTCTTGCCTTTTACATGAGATATCTCTTATAAGCAGGAGACCTTGTATGCTTTTCCTATCAACCTGTATTTTTGTAGGCATCCCGGCGTCTCTTATAACCATTTGTCTGTTATATCAATCTAGGGGTTCGACTGTATTATCATTATTATCCTAATATTGTAGGTAATATTACGGTTTCCATATTTTCTACTTCATAAGTCGCATTTTTAAATAAATGAACAAAAGAGTGAACATTTCTTAAAGCTCTTTTTTCTTGTTATTGATACACAAGGTTTTTACAACTAACAGGCAATTAAGCCATGTGATGTAGGGGAATGTTATTTGGGGGTGAGTGTGACACAAATGAGAGATTAAAGTAGACACCAGCAGGAACCTAATCTGCCACCCTTAAACAATGTGTGTGATACTCTACCAACTGAGCAACAGGGATCCCCTGTCCACTTTTGGGGTGTACATGTGCATACAAATGTGAGAATGCTGGTTAGCACCGCTCAGAAGCATGACTTGGACAGTTTTTTTTTTTTGTGCCTGTTGGCATCACGTAGCACATGACGTTTTACGAGCTGTCAGCAGACCAATAATCTTTGCATACTGCTGAAGGCATCAAGTCTGCCAGAACAAGACTCTCGCTATGAATGAAGGAAAGAAGAGAGAACTTGCAAGGGCTCTTCATTAGACACCAGATTAATTTCAACCAACAGAGCCAGCCAAGGCATAGCAGATGGTACGTGCAGTAATTATGATAGAAGTGAGGAGGAGTGGTGTGTGTGGGGGGGGGGGGGGCTCAGCAGAGAATCATCGGATCTGAAAGTTCTCTTGATCAAATATGTCGAAGTGCACTTTTCGCAAAGGATTACATGAAGCTGCATGAATGCTTTCCTAAAAACGTACTCTTATCACTATGCTACGTTGACAGGGGCTTTGATGGGCTGACGACAAGGAAGCGATCCCAGCTTTGTGAAGCCTCAGTATTGGCTTCTCAAATGTCGTTAAATTGGAAATTTTTTCAAACCAAGAAAGCAATTTGAAATCCTTCAAAATTTATAATTGTACTCTACCAACATCCAAAACATGCCACAGTATAGCTTTTGCCAGCAACCCGTGCCTGCACGTCTGAAAAAGTCCATGATGCCAACTCTATGCAAAAATAAAAGGGTACTAAGGTATGTGACTCCTCTCTGATAGTCCTGACTTACCAGTGTGACTCTCTTTAAAAAGGCTCTCTTGTAGGTGATATAAAAAAAGAGAACACAGCGAGAGTTGGCATGTCTTGTTAACGACATCATACTCGTGGCAAGTCAATACTACCTAGAAAGAGCCACACATTCCACTCTACTCTTAGAGTGCAGCTCCGGGAGACAGTCGTGGAAAGCTATAACTGGCTACCAATACGTGACGACGCGGATTGTGAGTACAGCGACGGTGCAAGCTACTGAAATGCAGAAGATGCTGGGAATCATCTGTCATATCTGTCGCATAAACCATTTGATAACCTAAGTAATCACTGGCACCTCAAGTACCATGCAGTACATGAGACCGGTACCCACACGTCTGCTGCTCTGTCACAGATCTTGGGGGCAAGTGCTATTGGTAATAGATTGAGAGGGCGCTGCAAGGCACAGCAAGCATGGTTTAATAACAACCAAGATAGCTAAAAAAAAAAAACTTAGTACTCTTTAAACTGTGGGGGTGCTGACACCTGTTGTTTGCTCTGCGTGGCGGATGTGTCTCGCCCTAAAGCCGCATTTCGGGTTACAGCTATCGGACGGTAAGTGGTAGTCACTTGGTAGCCACTATCATCATCATCATCATGGTATAGCGCCGGCGGTGACAAGCCTTGGTAGCGGCGAGCGAGAAATAAAGTGGTCTTTTCTGCGCATGGCGGTTGCTGCAAACGGTTGTCTCTAGCGTGGGTCCCCGGTGCGTGGCACCGCAGGTTGCGCGTCGGGAGCACGTAGCACGTGAACTTATTACGAGCGGGCAGTTGAATAATAGTCCCTCGTATACAACCTAATGACACCAAGTCTGCCAGTACGAGACCCTCGTTAATGAAATAAGGAAAGAAGTGTATACCTAAGGGCTCGTTTTTCCGTGTTTTAACACAATATTTATGAGATCTAACAGACAGTAATGCCAAGGAATGTACAGGGGAAGTTATTAGAACTAATGGAATGTAAATAAGAAGAAAGAAAAGTGGATGAAAAAATAACCAGCCGTGAGCAGGAATCGAACCTACGACCTTCGAATAACGCGTTCGATGCTCTAGCCACTGAGCTACCACAGCGGCCTTCCCCCCATCCACTTTTTTGAGTTTATATGTGAATTTAGAGGTAGGAGTGACAGTCAGCGCCATCTATAAGCCAAGCAACCAGTGTGAAAACACTCTTTTATGCGCATGTTTGGCGTCACGTGGCACGTGAACTTATTATGAGCGGGCAGCTGATTCATAGTCCCTCGTATACAACCTAATGACACCAAGTCTGCCAGTATGAGACCCTCGTTTAATGAAATAAGCAAAAGAAGTGTATACCTAAGGGCTCGTTTTTCCGTGTTTTAACACAATATTATGAGATATAACAGACAGTAATGCCAAGGAATGTACAGGGGAAGTTATTAAAACCAATGGAATGTAAATAAGAAGAAAGAAAAGTGGATGAAAAAATAACCAGCCGTGAGCAGGAATTGAACCTACGCCGTTTGAATAACGCGTTTGATGCTCTAGCCACTGAGCTACCACAGCGGCCTTCCCTCTATCCACTTTTTTCAGTTTATATGTGAATTTAGAGGTAGGAGTGACAGTCAGCGCCATCTATAAGTCAAGCGACGAGTGTGAAAACACTTTTATGCGCATGTTTGGCGTGACGTAGCACGTGAACTCATTATGAGCGGGCAGCTGATTCATAGTCCCTCGTATACAAGCTAATGACACCAAGTCTGCCAGTACGAGACCCTCGCTTAATGAAATAAGATACCTAAGGGCTCGTTTTTCCGTGTTTTAACACAATATGTATGAGATCAAACAGACAGTAATGCCAAGGAATGTACAGGGGAAGTTATAAGAACCAATGGAATGTAAATAGAAGAAATAAAAGTGGATGAAAAATACCCAGCCGTGAGCAGGAATCGAACCTCTATATTATATATTTATATATTATATATATATATTCGAGGTCGCAGGTTTGGATCCTGCCCACGGCAAATTACTTTTCACCCATTTTCTTTCTTCTCATTTAACATTACAATTGCCTAATAACTTCCCCTACACCTTCCTTGGCATTATGTCTGTTAGATCCATTGATATTGTGTAAAACACGAAAAGAGCCCTTAAGTATACACTTGTTTCCTTTATTCATTAACGAGGGTCTCGTACTGGACTTGCTGCCTTTAGGTTGTCTACGAGGGACTATTGGTCAGCTGCCAGTTAGTAATTTCAAGAGCCACGTGACGCCAACATGGCTCATAAAGCGTGTGCCACACTCGCCGCCATGGCTACTATGGCGCTGAAATGACACTCCAACGTTTAAAATTGACATAGATATCCAATAAAGTGCTGGGGGGATGGATGTCGCGACAGCTCAAGTGGTAGAGCATCGAACGCGTTATTCGAAGGTCGCAGCTCGGATCCTACCCATGGCAAGCTATCTCACTTGCTTTCTTTCTTCATTACATTACGATTGGCTTAATAACTTCCCCTATACCTTCTTGCATTATTTTCTATTGGATCTCGTTAATATTGTTGTAAAAAAAAACGAGCCCTTAAGTATACACTTGTTTCACTTATATAATATATATATATATATATATATATTTTAACGCGGGCTGAAAGAGCGAGGAAGAAGAGATCGGACGCGCTCGAGCGATGGTGATTCGGCAGTGACGGTAGAGCGCTGACATTTTTCGTAAATAACCCCTCACATCCGTAACAGCTTTGGTGGAGCGGTGCTGGGTAACTTGCCATCCTGGACCCCGCAGCAGAAGTTCTTCGAAGAAGCAGACGCTTAGCTGGCCTACCTCCGGACAACATCAGCATGAACGACGACACAGCAATCCCATCGACGTCCTACGCTGCTGCATCCACCAGTGCCACCGACACGGCACAAGTGGCCGTCGACCTCGACAACCAGACTACTGGGCACCTGAGCCACGAATTTTCTCAGGTAAAACTGACGAAGACGTGGACGCTTGGCTAAAACACTTCGAGAGAGTGAGCCGCTACTACGAATGGGGCGCACCGGCGAAGCTCGTGAACGTAGTATTCTTCCTTGCCGGGACAGCCTTGCTTTGGTTTGAGAACCATGAACATGTCCTCCCCACTTGGGATATATTTGTTAAGGAACTGAAGGCCTGCTTTGGGGACACGAGTTCCATGAAAAAGAAAGCTGAGCAAACGCTGTCACGTAGGGCTCAGTTGCCCGGCGACGTGCACAACCTACATTGAAGAAGTGTTGAAGCTTTGCGGAATTGTCAACGCAAATATGTCTGACGAAGACAAAGTCGGTCATTTTTGAAAGGCATCGCCGAGGACGTGTACAATTTTTTGATAACAAAAGAAAACTTGAACACTCCTTCGATTTTCAGGCAGCAGTGTCGCGCATTCGAGGCGTTGAAGACCCGAAGAATTTTACCCAAGTTCGGGCGCTTGGACAATGTTCCCACTGTCGCAAGTATGGACGTCGCCACCTGCGAAGACATTTCCTACCTCGTACGTCGGGTAGTTCGAGAAAGCTCGTACGACTTCAAGCAGGACGTTCACCACCAATGCTCGTTCGCCGCGTGCCCCGAACCACCTCCCTACTGGATGCGAGAGCGTCACGTCGAAAACCGACCACGCACAGAAACTGCAGATTTTACCCCGCGCTCCGTTTTCC